TCAAAATCAGACTAATTATGGTTTAAAGATAGTTACAGATATTATAGTTTAAGAATTGAATCTTGCGAGTGAATTATTAGTACTTACTTTTGAGTATATTTAAATTAAAATATTTGCTTAGGGATGATTCCGTATTAGAATAATGCTTAGTTTTAAAACAATACTAGAGTGGTTCATATTATATTTAAAATTATTGTTTCAGCTTGGATATTTTCCCAGAACGCCTTTTTAGGCTGAAAAATTCGAATTTATTTTAAGTGCTACAGCAATGCAATAATTGTTCGAGTGTAAATATTTAGAACGATGAGTATGATTTAACTAAATATGTCCTTCAAATTCAATGCGTAAAATATGAAATTAATTCTGATAAAAGTTATAAGCAATTTTAAGCCTTAAGTTTTATTTTTGTGTTATCTCGTTTAATCTCAGGATTATGAGATATATCCTAAATTTCCCAAAATCAGAATCAAAGTAAGAATGCAGATTTTGAAAGATTCGTATGTTACTAGAATCTTCGGTTTGACTTATTTTGATTTATCTGATCATGGCAAAGCACCGCGAGGGTTATCTATCTAAAGTTAGGGATGCGTTCGTAAAGGACTTTCTAAGAACAACTGTATTGTATACATGTTGCACATGTGAAAAACCCCGAAAATGCTCAAACAGTCAATCCGTTTGCCAAGATTCAAATCCCAGCCGAACTAACAGTGTTTAGCGACTTTACCGCTTGGCCACTGGTGGACCATAGAATTTCTGGAGTTTATCATAACAAGTTTAAGAATGCATTTTTTTTAAATACACATATGTTTATTAAGAAATATAATTGTAATTAAAACTTGAATGCTGAGGCTTATTTTCCTAGCATACTTGATAAAAATGTTGGATTAATAATTAATTTTTTTCCTCCATTTCCACTGAATTTTAAAACAGACTAAATACAAAGAATATTATTTCATGAGTTAACACAAATAAATAGAGGCTCAACATAGAGAGCTGAATTCTCTGCTTAAAGTTATAGCAGTCTGAGCCACGTCAATTGAATTCGTTTACAACAATAGCTTGCTTTTTCATTGATGAAAGCTTCTATTTTTCGTAATAAAACTTATCTTTTCAACATTTAAGCTAAAACGTTCCACGGACTTTTAGATCAGTATTTAAAATATTTCAAAATAGTGCGAAGATTCGTGTTTTCGGTTCTCGATTTTTCTTTCAAGATTTGAATGTCTCATTCGTAATTTCCAATCTAAGTTATGGAGGTATAATGATGTAGCAAAAAATTTACCCATACCTAGGAAAGAAGCGGTATATCATAATAAATCTGGTCAAGACCATAGAGAAGACAGTTACAAGTAAATAAACGTATAGGGCATACGATCAATGTACAAGTGATCTTTAGTATCGTAGGTGCTAAACATCAGTTGTTCATAATTTCCCTTTAGTAACCATCTGAAAGGGAGGAATCTTTCAGTACAGTTAAGCGTCCGCAAAGAACGCATAGAGCTTCCCAAAACGCTCTAACCCAAGAAGCACATGATGTAGCAAATACGTTACTACGACCACTTTGCAACCTTTTGGACCAGTTTTGCAACGTCTTTACTACGTCATGTGCTACTTCGGAAACGTCTTTGTTCTGAGGTCCCGTTCCTTAAAGTTTACCTAATGTGGCATACCGTGCAACTTCGTACTAGTATTTATTAAAAATGATATTTTAACATGTGAGACGTAATATCATTTCAATACAATTTAAAATTCAGAAATAAAGTTATAAACATTTGTCTAAATGTAAAAAGAAAATCAGAAAAAAAAAACCCATAAAAGGTAATAATGGGAAGATAAATAGTTGAACAGACGGATCAGTTAACAATAGTTCAAAAGTTCAAATAATTTCCATAGCTTTAAATTGTTTGGGAATAAAATCAAAATATTTTAATTAAGAATACGAGAATTAAGAGAATTTGGAAAATTTATCAGCATTTTAAGGAACATTAGAATTAAATAAACTGATGTTAAAATGTGGAGGAAAAATATGATAACTTGGACGGTGCCTTTCGGCCATATGCAACGAATACAGTTTTTTACTGTAAGATTAGCAGATTTTTTTACTGTAAGATTAGATAAAACATTAGTAATTACATAATGACCGCCGCCTACATATGAATTAAAAATAGAAGAATTAAATTTTAAATAAAGTAAATAATGACTAAACTATAAATAACTAACAAAATTAAAGAAATATTCTTGAAATGGGAACTATAAAAATATCATTACGGCTTATAAAATTAATAGACTCAATTGTTCATAATATCGAATTTATGGAGCATGTAGTATGAAACACTTTGCAATGATCTATATTCTAAGAAAAGGGAGCGATTTCGTAATTATTTTAAATTACTGATATTTATACTCATTTCTAAAGAAAAATATTTAGAATACAAAGAGGTTATTTTTACAGCTTTCAAGTAATTTTCCTTAGTTTAGGAGCATGAAAAAATACAATCATAAAGAAATTCCTACTTCCTACCTGTACAAATGTCGGAGCTTTTCATGTATTCCATATGAAAATATACAGTGAAGTGGCCGGAACCGAATATAAAGTTTATAAGGTATTTCTCCCGCTTCCCTAGCGTGCCTTCGTGGTGTAGTGGTCAGCACACTGAGCCGGTATTCAAGAGGTCCGTGGTTAGATTCCCGGCGAATGCCGTTGCTAATTTTCATCCATCATACAAATCGCGCTTTTGAGACAGAATACCTAATTAAAAAATACCTAATGTCTCTACAGTGGCGCCCGAACTAAACGTGTGTTGGATGAGGATTCTCCGCACCCAAGATTTGGCGATTAGGTCTCCTAAGATCACCAGTCGCCCTTTATAAGGAGGATTATATAAGGTATTTCTCCCACCTTCTTGGCGTGCCTTCGTGGTATAGTGGTCTGCAAGCTGGGCCGGTATTCCAGAGGTCCGTGGTTCGATTCCCGGTGCAGGCGGTTGCTAATTTTTCATCTGTCTTGCTTCCAAAAATGCCTAATATATCTATAAGTTAATTAATGAAAGATTTTTATATGGAGATATCAATCCTAAATTTGGAATTAAATTATAAATGCGTCTTGTCAGAAAGCATTATTCCAGAAATTTTGCCAATGTTATTAAAGCTAGTTGATTTTGTTGGTATCTGATTTTTGAATAAGGTCGAGGTATGACAAACTCTCAGACACGGTGACTGGGTGTTACTTCTTTGGCTATATTTGCTTGATCTCGCTGAAATGACCACTATGAACGTAGATGCTTTCCTTTTCTGCAGTAACAAGTTGTGGAATAAAAGCAGCTAAAACATGAAGAACTACATTTGAAGTTGTACTGTATGCTCGAGTAGTGTAAAGGCTAAAATATCTTTGAATTAAATTTAAACATTTAATTTTCCATACCGTCACTGGTTATGTTCAAATGCCGGCTCCATAATTCACCATTTTCGTTATTAATGTTTTAAGAAGATTTCATGTAATATGAGAATTTAAGGCGAAGTTTATCCATACGGTCATCATAGATATATGATGGTAGATAATAATGCTATACCAAACTATGTTCAAGTGAGAATTCCAGAACACACAGTGAGGTTAATGAGGAACATTTAAGAGAAATGAAGTGTCAGTAACAGCCTTCATTGCTGCAGAAACGGTCCATAATTCCTTACAGATTAATATGGTGTAGAGCGTCTTCGGACATGCCAGATTCTGTGTAATTGGCAGACAGGTCAGACAAGTTTTGCAATGGATATATCATATCCCAAATGTGCTTAATGTGGAAATGATCAGGATAGGCAAAACAGGACGATCTACGAATGGCCATGGGAGATTTACAGCGTTGTATAGAAAGCTGGTTTTGAGATGCTCTAAGTGCGAACTCACATTATCATCTCGAAAAATAGCCTCTGTTTGGTTCGACAAGATGTAGACTAGAAATATCGTAACATTTCAACGTGACGCAGTGCGCAGAGTAGTTTGCTGGATACCTAACTGTGACCGGGCGTCATACGCAATGGTACTTCACACGATAATATCTAACTTAGCTTAAATCTATCCCTCCATAACAACATCAGGTGAGCAGCATTCATCTGGTCACTTCCATAGATGAATGAGGCGGTCGTCCCGGCCAAACGAGAACCTACATTCATCGCTAAAAATCATACTTCTTCTGTCCGCTACATTTCACACATCATATATTTTTGCTAATAAGCAGGCGTTCAAATTAGGCGTCGCATGGGTGCCGAAATGAAATCAACGTTCCTTTAGGCGTCACCTAATAGCTCCAGATGGCCCTAAACGGTGACAGTGTGTGTAAAATCCACCAAATTTAATTTCTTTTTCCAAATTCCATCCAAATTTATTTTTCTTCCCAAGAGTGAAATCTGTTGCCACTGGAGTGGTTGTGACAGAGTCCATACATCTAGTCGTCCTTCACGGACTGTCACTGCCCCTCCGGACGCTGATGGGCGAAATATATGGAACCACTGCTAACAACATTGTTTCACTGTTTCATCGCCTGGACCTTCCTAGACATTACCCTAGACTATGTCCATATTATCTCCATTGCTTGAACCTCCTTAGTTGTATATAAGTTATTCGTGTTCGTCTCTGAGGTAATTGCGTTGGCTACGGCCAACGACATTTCTGAAGAAATCAGTTCAAATTTATTGTACTTAACTTTTATATCTGACAGCTTATTGTTTACGATGCATCGTGCATGTGTTAGGTGCCTTCAGTGGTTATGTATATTTATTAACGTGTGAAGCAGGGTTAGATTTATTTGCATGTCAATTGTCGTTACGTTACGTTACGTGTTCGCCTTGCATGGGTTTCATTGCTGTAAATATTGTTAAATGCTTGATTGAGAAAATTATGAAATAATAAAATTTATACTAACAATGTAATGACTGAATGTATGAATTACGAAGATGTAACACTTTAATTCAAAAACTTATTCACTTCGAACCCATTATTTTTACAGGGATCCAAATGTAATTTTCTCAGATGACGATGAAAATATCGATGACAGAGATTCAACTCGTTATAACACACTGAACTGGCCTCAGTACGATAGGCTACATCAAAGATATATATTCATCGGTAAGTATTTTTCACATTTTTATAAATATGTATTCATTTTATTTTATTCAATTAGGTGAGAAGAATGTGTGCATCTCATTATGTTCCAAAGTTGACATCTTTTAAAAAATCAGCATTTCTTTATTTTTGTTTTTTATATTTTATAGATTTTCTAAATTTTGGGCTTTCCAACGTAATGAAATATGGACTGCATTTTTCAATAACGATGTGCAATATTTACAGGGCGCATCAAAATAATTAATAAAATAAAGTTGAATAAGCAGTGTATTTAGGTTAGCTTCTCAAAGAGAAAGTAAATTGGTTGTTTAACGGCAGCAAATTCTATTTTATAGAAATAATAGTTTAGTTGCTTCAGACGTTACGATTTTCCTTTCTTGAGGGAAATTAATTACTGTTTCGCAGATATTTGTTGAGTAATTTCATCTTTTGAACAATGAACAGCAAATTTTAATTCACAAATTTATTTGTATTAACCGGTAATTATAGCAAGTATTTAACATAATTTTATAGTTAACTTGAAGTAAAAAAACTTACGTGAAAGCATTTCCTTATAACATAATCCTGGAAGAAAGCTAACCTTTAAAGTTTACATTTACTACCTGCTCCCGTAGTAATAGGCTTTATCAATAATATTATTTAGTGATCAAAAACTATTTGCTATGAAGTATCTGTGGTGGTCTCACAGACACAACCACCAAACATCCATAAGAAGGTACACTATGAGTAGACTGATGAGAATGAAGCTAAACACACTTCGTACCAGCAGGATATTGGAAATATTTTCGAAGAAGCGGAGAGAAGTCGGATCCATGCTGAAGGCATCAAAGATCAGTACTGAAACGGCCTTTAGGCTAGGCTTGTGCTTCAAACATCTTCATTCTCGATGCCAACGGAGAACAGAATAATACTGCCAAATTGATTTTTAAAGGAGAGAAATTCGTTGCTCCTTTGAAATAAAACAGATGGCTGGCTTCAATTGAGGCAGGAGTGTTTTCTTTCCACCTCTGCTACAAAACACACCACTTTTTCGTCTGTTATCTCTGCTTAATAGCCTCCCTTAGCCAAGGAAAAGTATTCTTTGGCGATCCTTGACACCACTGCCAAATAAGCCAGTGCAGTCCCACACTTGGCGCCCTCTTTCATACCGGAAGAAAATTTTTCGTTACCTTGCAAAGCAATTCAGGCGAAATCCAGAAAAGGCGATAAAAATTTAAGGTCGTTCGTTCCATCTTCTAGAATATTATTTGGACCTTTCTTGTTCTAATATTGCCCATAAAAATCAGACTTCAGCTTTATAATTTGATTCTTTGAATATGAAGTTTTTATCATTGTTATTATTACATATCTTGAGAATTTATTCAAATATGATGAGCACTTTCTTACAAACAGAAGGTAAAGTAGAAAGAATTCTAAATTAAAATTGGAGTTAAAAGTCAAAAGACTTATTAAGGTGATATAACATCACAAGCATCTTCCCGGACTTAACAATTACTGACAGCAAAGGAAAAGTTCACCAACGCATGTAGTTTCTTCGCATAGGGCATAATTAGCAAATGCATAGTAGACCTTGAGGTAGTCTTCTACAGTTTCATCAGAAACAGGTATGAATGCATTGTGCGTAAGGTTCTGTGTTAGTGTCAGCTTCTATCCCTCAGACACAATCTTAAAATGATTAAGTGCATAACTATAAGTATTATGTGTATAGCAGTCATTAATTGTAGACTAGTTTCATGGTGAGACTTCATGAGCAAGAATTCTCGATGCAGGTTTCTAAGGATGATATGGTATATTTCATCAACGTGGCAATTCGACCGAACAACGTTGATTTGCCAGCAACACAAAATAACTGGTTAAGGAATTAAGAATGTTGCATGCACAAAGTAGCTCAGTGTTATTATCGTTGAAGGTTTATCACATGTACTACAAATATGACACAAACAATGTCAAACTATGTTATATTATTCAATACCATGATTACATTTTCATCAATTATCAGGTAAATCCATGATCACATCCTGCAAGTATGGTGAAGTGTAGTAGCTGAACGTGTTGCCCTTTATCGTACCTGGCTTGGGTCCATCATTTTACTTCATGTATGGAACTCATATACTTAGCTACATAACACTCTGTCTTACTTAAAATTCTCCGTGAATGCCAAGTAATATCCGCAAGTGCTGTCCAAATGCTTACTGGTATTCTGTTGAGAGTTCTACTCATAGGGCAGAAGACAATCATCTTTTATACCATATTTATTTCTTCAATATCGTCAATCTAGAATCTTAAGTATTTTTAAAGAAGCAGACTATGAGAAAAGCATCACTCTTCGTTTAAATTGTTTCGACAAGTAAATAAGACTGTAGCATCCATAACGTACTGCGGTGTTATTATCGATGAGAGTTTATCGTGGTGACTATTATCAATTATGACAGACTTTTCAACGTCCTATGCACTTTAGTTTGACAACTATGATGCAACCTTTTCCGAGCTCACTTCAGTAGCCTTTACAAGTGACCTAAATGTTACTTAAGTACAGTTTATGGTTATTGTCTTATGGAGCAAGACAACATAAGATTCATTTATATGCACAGACTGAATCCTTAAAACTGAATATTTACGCTTATCATAAAACCTATATGCAGAATGCCCGAAGTCTTCATAACCCATTAAATTTTCTGCTTACGTTTTTTTAGAATTCTCTTCTTTTTTGTTTTCAGCAAATGTTTCTTAATCTTCCAGGTCAAAAGACATAGAGCATAGTGTTATTCAAGGAAATATCCAAGGAAATGCGACTGCAAATTAGTTTACAAAGCTTATGAACTTCTCTCCTAAAGTTAATATTGATTTGAAAATATATTTTAAACGGTAACAATGTCTGATTATCATAATAATAAATATATAATTGGTATAACAAACATGAATTATAAATATTTTATATGAAATAATTTTATTCCAATCTATAAAGACTTCTGATAATCATAGAATAATAGATAATTTTACAAATCGACCCATGGATTTTATTGATAAGTAAGAAAGTATCTTAAAAATTGAACTTTTGGAGAATCCGTGCAATTTTGGAAATAATAGAAGGATGAAATGGAAGAAGGACAAAATCATTAATGTTATTTCTATGATTTCTACGCTAATTTGATCAAATATAGTTTTGTATGGCATTTTACTTATTTTGATATTCGACTTTTAATTTGTTTTCATGTTTTCAATCAAAGTATTTTTGTTACAAGTATGCTTCATTGAATAATGCCTATTGTAACTAATGTAGTTTGTGATTTAAGCAAAACCTATTCCATTTTAGGTCTGAAATCTAAGATTCGGGACCACTATCATTCTCATCGTTTATCATTCTGGTTACATCTCATCCCTTCACTCAACAGACCAGGTGAAGGTAATCTGAGCTACGAACATCATATGCTGGAGGACCACAACAATCTTCGCACGTATGACGGCAAAGTGCGGGACATCCCTTCTGACCTTTCTCGCGTCACTTCAGAGGAAGTGTTTTACCCTCCGCCTTTACCCTTACCCACAGTAGCACCAACACAGCAGTCGACAACTAACATTATAGACAGTACTACTCACCAAAACAAGGCGATGGTCAAGCTCAACAACTTGCCTTCAGGTTTTACTGTTCTAGATGGCGTGGAAAATAGTACTGTTTTAGAAGAAGGTGGGACAACATCTGTGTCTATCTTTGAGAGGACTACAGTAGGATCACCTAGTGCTTTTGATATGGGTGTTTATTCGACTGCTTTAAGTGTCACAATAGCTGTTGGGTGCTCCTTGCTCATTCTGAATGTGCTCATATTTGCCGGTGTTTATTATCAAAGGGACAGAAATAGGATGGAACTAGCACTTCAAAAAGCAAATTTTCAAGTAAGCATTCGCTTTAAACTGGAATTTGTTTATACATAATAATACATATTTGAAATAATATGAATTCATTGGTAAAATATTGCTGTAAAAATATTGAAATTCCTTCTTTTAAATTTGTTTTTAAAGAGCAAATGCTTTTAAATCAAGCAAGAAATGAAGCTATATTTTTCGATAATTGCATAAAATTTATCGCTGCAGTAGGGTTCTCATATCAGTAAACATAAATTAAACCTTTTCGAGCAAAATATGCTAAATATAGTCGAAAGTAACTGCTAACATAATTCTGAACTAGCTTATAAGGTATATAATTTTTTCTGAAACATTTCTTCTGAAGATACGGTTTGATTAAAAAAATAAATGAAGAGAAAAAGGAGGTAGATTACATCGTCATCAAATCATAACTATTCTCAGGAGATAAGAGTATTGTCATTATGCTTTACGAGGTTATAAAGTATTGAGAAAAATTGTTCAGGTATTAATTACTTAGTAAAAGCTCATAAAAAAATTCAAATTAATGAAATATAGTCTGAGACTCAAAATTCACTAAAATTTTAAGTAAAGGAAGGCATAAAAATTCGAAGATGTCTCTGAATTTAAAATAAACTGCAAATTTAATTGCGGGAAAACTTCTGGACAAATGTTTATCTGCATTTTTTATAAATGTACTTGGAATTTCTGACATGATATATTTATTATTACACTTGATAAATAAGTGAACAATTTCATCTTTTTTATTCATGAGTATTTTTCTCGTGGATAAATTTATGTAATGTATTTCAAGTAAGCACGAGTCAAATGATTGATTTTTGTTTTGTTTCTCTTGAATATTGCTCACGTGTAAAAGAAATTTTACCTTCGTGTTTTCTCTTTTGACCTAGTGGGATGTCGCGTTTCAACTGTCTATATTGCTTTTCTTTCTGTCAAATTTTCGTAATATTTGTTAAATTTTTCCTATTAAATTTTGGTAATTAGAAATTTTCATATATGCAATTTTAGCTCATGAAATAATAGGCAAAAATTCCAAGCACGTCAAATAATACTTTTTAATTTTGTTTTTTTAAAATTGCAAAGAAATATCTGAAGACTTCACTTCCATAAACTTCATAAATTACAATTGTTGTAAGAAACCTAATCACTGAAATTTTGATAAATATCTTGTACGATAAATAATACAGGATTTTTACATATGAACTTGATGTCTATATTGAGAAAAAAGACAAATTTTGGACTGCAAAAAATTATTCAATGGATTAATTTTCATTGCAACATAAATAAAAGTAAAAATAAAAGAAATGGGCCCATTAAAAAGAAAAATCTGATAATATGTTTTCAATAAACGAGAAAAAAAGGAAGAAAGGAGAAAATATGAAAACTGATGCTCAGATTATTCGCATTTGCAGAATCTATATCGACCCATCTAAAATTAGCATGACTATCTAAAGTTCTTATTTTAATCAACCAGTTATGATTTTGATCTGTACTTTAACTTCTCCTTACAGTATTCCTCACATAAATGCAAATCAGGTTGTAGAGACATTAGGTATTTTTTGGAAGCAGGCAAGATGAAAAATTAGCAAACTCCTTCGCCGGGAATCGAACCACGAACCTCTAGAATACCGGCCCAGTGTGCAGAACCACGACAGCAGGAAGACATGCTAGGAAGGCGGGAGAAATACCATATAAGCTTTTAGAATATACAAGCCGAGTGAAACTTAAACACAGTAAAAGTTTCTGGCACTGGCTCCACGCTGTTAGAATTTCGCCAGCTCAATCGAAAAAGTAATTTTTCTGTATTTTGAATACACTCGCGGCCGGTACTTTAAACGTACGACACGGTAAAAGTAACTGAGGTATCTTGTAGCTCATGTTATTGAATGTAGAGTCTTAGACTAATTTGTTGACGATAATCGTGGACAAAGTAGACACGATAATCGTTGCAATCGTTGACAGTAGGTAATCGTTGACAATATATAGTCTACGATTACTTAACAACTTGCCTTCAGGTCTAATTGGCTGTTATTTTTTAATTTATATCACCACGAGATGTGGGTTGCCTGTAGAACAAGTCGTGTCTTGTATGTTTAAAGTTCATGTTAAATAAAAAGATTGTTTTGAGCTTCTTCAATATTTTTGAGGACGTAACGATAACTAATAGGGTTGTAGTCTAATAGGTTTGTAGGATTTAACTTCAGCTGCCAGATAAATAGCAACCTTACAATTATATAAATATATTTTCAGAAGCATAACCGAATGTTTCCTTCAAATTTAGACTTATTGTTGGACGTGCTTTCAGACAGAACTTATTCCTGGGATACAAAGTTCTTTTTCAACTAGAGTGCAAAGCATAAAACCGAGGCTGTCACTACTACGGAAAAATTATCTTGAAAAATTTGGAATTCAGTGGAATATGTTTCATTGTCAGTTGAAATTCTGATCAAAACATGGAACATGAACGAAGGTATGAAATTAAATAACTTGTAATTGATGCTACATTAAGCTATCAATTACATAATTTCTCAATGACATTTGCATTACCATCACTTTGAAAAACTGGAGAATTCTTATTGGGATAAGAATAGAATTTAGGAGAATTACCAGACGACATAGTTCTTTAACACATTAAAAGGTATTCTGATTCTAATTTAAGTGCCAGTGATTCAGGGGCCTTTCAAGGCATCATACCATTAACTGTTCCAAATTTTGGTGCGGTAGTGGGATAACTGAAAAGAATACAGAGTATTGCTAGATTATCTTGCAATCTGGTACCACTGAAATACTAATTGCATAAAGTTTCTGTGGATTTTTTATACCATGAATGCAAGCCAGTTTTCCTTAGCAGGTCTTTCACAACTCTCACATTTTAGTAGCAGGTTGTTGTAATAAATAATATAATATAATATTTCCTTGCCTTAAATTTATCTAATGTAAATATATGTTTCTAATATGCATTTGATTTTTTTTTTCTTTATCTCTGTCTCTAAATAATATGTGTAGGTGAATGAATTAAAAGCAGGAGTTTTTTTCCTTCTTAAAAATTCTGAATATTTAATTCTGAAACTTCGGTAAAGTTAGTGAGCCATCTTCTTGTAGATTTAATTTTGTAGTCCTTGACTATTCTTCAAGTTTGATTTAATTTGGGCAATCTGCTTTATTTTGCATTACGAAGAGCTGTGGAAATTGTAGCACAAGACAGTGGCCTTATATTCTAAATTCTGGTTAAATAAAAAGATTATTTTGATATTGTTTTCAGACGAAACAAGAATTCGTTTCGTGTCTGTTACGGTTATTAGACTAAAATAGCATTACCAAAATTCATGGTTAGAAATGCTTACGTCATTCAGATCGTATCGTGGAGGTCAAATCGTGTTCGATAAAATTCTTGATTCGATCCTCAGTTCCTGATACTTCTGTAACTAAGGTTACGTATATTCCGACATGGGACATTTGCGGGTAATAAGGACAGTTTATAAGGTATTTTCTCTCCTTCCTTTCAACATGCCTTCCTGGTGTAACGCTAGCACACTCGGCGCATATTGCGAGAGGTCCAGTTAGAAACCCGCCGCGGGCTTTGCTCATTTTCTCAATGGAGCCAGAACTAAAGGGTTGTGGACGATAATTCGTCACCACCTGGATCCGATCATTGGGTCCCCTGAACCCCAGTCGCTGTTTAAAAGGGAAAGTATATAAGGTATTTTCTCCCATTTTTCCGCATGCATAATTAGAAGCATATTCGACAAGTACAGGGTTCGAATCCTAGAGAAGGTAATTAATGACTCTAGAAGTGGCACCCGAACTGAAAGATGGTGGACGATAATACGTTATCATTAAGTTTTGACGAATGGGTCCGCTTATCTCCAGTCACTCTTTACAAGGTGGAGTATATAAGATATTTTCTCTCTCCTTTCCACTTCGTGGTGTAAATAGAAGCATACTCGATGCATATTCTGGAGGTCCAGGGTACGAGTCCCGGAGAGGGCACTGTGTATTTTTTCACGTCTCCTGCTTCAAAAATGCCGGTACTTTTCCGTTTTGCCGGCGCAAACGATAAAGTCGCCAATAATGGTACAACTACTGCCAAAGGGAATAGCTTCGCTGGTAACCTTTTACACTTCATTTTCAAAACAAGTCGCAGCCATTTCTTACCAGATTGATTGTTTCTTTCAATACTGGCATACAACTGCATAGAATATTTACAAAGATAATCAAATTTTATGCCCCAAGAGCATTCGCGGTAATTAAGTCAATTAGGATGAATTACACCACTCACCCGAAGGCGAAAATATAGAAATGCAAAATCAAGTATTAAATTTATCAATTGTAATGAGAATGCGCTAGCGAAGTAAAGCCCTACGGTTTTATATAATTTCTCAGTAAGCTATTCGTACGAATTGAAATAATTCTTGCATTTAAACTTGTATTCAAAATTAAGATTTAACTTCAAATTAATGTAGATAATTACTGAGAGAATTATATTTTTGTATCGTAGTTTACGTGAGATGAGATCACTTGGGGTCACGTTATACGAACCGGCGAATCAGGATGTTGAACCATGATAGCATAGTAAATTCTTAATGTCTTTTTACAAATTTATTGTCTTTATTTATTGGCTTTTTACAAAATTATAAACCATATTAAAATGTTTATGCCTTCTAAAATAAAAAATTCTTAGAACTAACATTTGTTAACATTTTTTATGTGTATACTGTATGTTGTCGCCGACAAAGTCAGATTGGCGAGATTTGCCGGCGAAACGGAAAAGTACCAAAATGCCTAATGAATCTACAGCACTACTAAAATATTTTTGTTGCTTATGAAGTGATACTTATTCCTTATGAAAGAATTTCGAAATAAGAATTCTAAAATGAGTGTGGAAAACTGTCTAATTACTAATTACTAAAAAATTACATTTTAATTCATCAGAACTTTTACAATGCCTAACTGCATTTGTGTAAATGATGAAAGTATCGGATAATATCTAATTTAATAATCGCAAGCCATCT